TTGGCGTGCAGATTTCGTTGCAGGGCAGCATTTGGTGAGCACAGGTCTACGATAGCATGGCAGGGGCAGCACTGTCGGGGCAATTTTTGTGGCAGGCGCAGGACTTTGTGATTGGGCGCGCAGATTTCGTGGCAGGGCCATCATTGGGTGAGCGCGGGTGTATGATTGATTGGCAGGGGCGGCATTTGGTGCCATATAAAGGGACTTGGTGTTGTACTGCGCTCTCTTCGGGGCCCCGATTTAGTTTGTGATTGGGCGTGCAGATTTCGTGGCAGGGGCAGCTATTTCGTGAGCACAGGTGTACGATGGCGTGGCAGGGGCGGTGTTGGGTGCTTTGCAAAGGGACTTGGTGTCATACTGCGCGCTTTGGGGCAGCTATTTTGCGTGGCAGGCGCAGCACTTTGTGACTGGGCGTGCAGATTTCCTGCGTGCACGATTGAGTGGCAGGGTCGGCGTTTGGTGGTCTAAAGGGACTTCGTGTTGCGCTGCGCGCGGACTCCTTTGCAGGAAGTAACAATATGCACACTCATCTCAGCTCTCACTCATCTCACCCCCATTGTACATGGGAGCTTCTTCTTGTGCATCCGGCTGATCTTGACATAAGATGGCTGGGGGTCGCTTGACACAAACGCGCGACAAGAAAGGGCTCGCAGCAGCAGCTTCATTCATTCCTGCGTGCTTTTTTTCTTGCTTTCTTTCTTTCCCTCCACGCTGCTAGCGCTCTTTCTTTCATGAGTCTTGGTCAAGTCTGCTGCAAAAACTTTGCAGGCGGGGTCTTCCGGATCTTTATTACATGTAGATGTAGAGGGAGACGCAGCCGAATGTTGTGACCACCTTCAAGGTAGCCCCACCGAAACGGTGTGTTTGCTTTTTCCGGGGCTGAAGTCATAGACCCATTGCGCAAGTTCGTGTACGGATGGAGCTGTTCCTACAAGATGAGATCAAGGGTAGAAGCTTGTTCTCAATTTCCTTTAGCCTCCCTGAGGAACCAGCTTCGCTTGTTTTCTGAGTGTCGAACATGGGCCAGTTTTTCGCAATTTTTTCCTAGGGCGGATCTAAGGTTCAGACTTGATGCTGCTTAAGGCAGGCACCCATCCAACCGCTTGCTGCTCCCTGCAATCCTTCTATTTCTCTCTCTCTCTCTCACACGGCCGATTGAAAATGAGAACTGCAAAAAAAGCCAAAACATGGGGGGTTTGCTTTGGAGATCCCGTCCAAGCCGCAACGGTCCGCGGCTCACCAGCCAAGGAGACGATATATATACATGTGTGTGTGTGTTGTGTTTTCTCTGGACTTGGAATCAGTGCCCAAGAGGCTTGACTTTTGGTTCTTTCAAGATGGCGAGGTTTTGAATAGGACCGAATAACTGTGATCCTCATAAACCAGGCATTTAGGCATTTGGGGCATGCTTGGATAGCCCCGGAAAGGGCGGCTGGATGGGCCGCTTTTTCGTTGGAACTCGTGTTTCCATTCCCACTTTGTCTTTGCCTGGCATTTCATCCTCTTTAATTGGACAGGCTTAAGTCTGCAGAACTGCGGTCAGCTCACCCATGTTGCTTCCCTGGAGTTCAAGACCAACCCATTGCCTTTTCCCTTTTCACATTGAACAAATTGCAGAACCAAGCGACTTGCTTGGCAAATCCTCCAACATTACAACAGTTCAACTTATCAGACATCTGTCGATGGCTGCCAACAGCCCTCGAAGCATAGGCTTCCTGTCCGGCATCGAGAGCGAGGTGCTGGCGCCCGAGCGGAGCAGGTGCTGACTGCGGGTTCGATTCGGCGAGCTGCAAAAAACACACACAGACACAGAGACACAGAGACACAGACACACAGACACACACAGACACACACAGAGACACACAGACACACAGACACACAGACACACAGACACACAGACACACAGACACACAGACACACAACACAGACACACAGACAGACAGACAGACAGACAGACAGACAGACAGACAGACAGACAGACAGACAGACAGACAGACAGACAGACAGACAGACAGACAGACTCACAGACTCACAGACTCGACAGACTCGACAGAGAGACAGACAGACAGACAGACAGACCAAGCCAGGCCAGGCCAGGCCAGGCCAGACCAGACCAGACCAGAATAGACAGACAGACAGACAGACAGACAGAGAGACAGACACAGAGACACAGAGACACACAGTCACACAGACCCGCAGACCCGCAGACTTGCAGACCCGCAGACCTGCAGACCCGCAGGCGCGCAGGCACGCAGACACGCAGACACGCAGACACGCAGACACGCAGACACGCAGGCACGCAGACACGCAGACACACACAGACACGCAGACACACAGACACATAGCCACACAGACGCACAGACACACAGACAAACAGACACACAGAAACACAGACACACAGACACACAGACACACACAGACACGCAGACACACACACACAGACACGGAGACACACAGACACATAGCCACCACACAGACGCACAGACACACAGACACTGCGTACAGAGAAGTTTTTCTGTGAGTCAGCTGGTATTTGGTTTTGCTGCAAAGGTTTCGTTTAAAGAAGCACAAGTAGAAACAATCGGGCCTATCCCCAAGCTTCTCCGAACCCTTCGAGGAGCACTTGCAAGAAGGTTCCAAGAACCCTTCCAAGGGGCGACCTAGGTTCTTGCCCAAAAGGAAGTCAACCATCTGTGTCCAGTTTGAGCCCAGCATTCAACTTATGAGGGGTCACAACTAGGATTGGATTTCATGTTGGGTAATGGGGACTGTGTGAAACGGTGGTCGAGTCCTTTGGCTCGAGAGTTGCGTTTAGGAAGTTTCTGCGCACGTGAAATTTCATGGGTTTCCTCCCTGAACCCCTCATCTGCTGCAAACACCTATCGGACACTCTGTTGGAAAGGTTCCATACGCCGTCACTTGCCTAGTCGGGAGGTTGTGCCCCACGGATGTGTGGGACCTTATGACTCTTTTGGAGGATGTTTTAGGTTTGCAACGGAGGAAGGGTTGCCATAATTAATATGGGCTTTTTCAACAATTGAAAGACTCGCACCCCTTTCAGTTGGTCTGAAATGGAAGCCAAAACGGCACCAGCCAGTCAGAGCGTTTGTTTGAGGATACTTCTCATCGCAAGCCTTGATCCTTCCTCTGACATAGTGCTGGATGTACATTGAACCGGAATTGGAGAATCCCTTTGCTTGAATTCACCTGAAATAGGCGGCCATGTCGGCATTAGAGCTTCCAAATCCACACGGGGGCCGTTCGTAGTTGCATGTCTAAAATTTCGGAACAGCGGCAACTTGTTGAACCGCGAGATTGGTAAAACTCGAGCCGGCGATTGGACCGCGAAAGGGCAACAAATTTACTATGAGTTTAGACGTTGCGTGGTGCCGACGCACGTCTCGCTGATTTTGCTTGTGCGGGCTCGAGGAAAAGTTTCCTTTGGAGGTTTGCGCAGGGCTAGACAAGCTGCAAACTGATTCCGCGATTGGACCGTGATTGGACGGCGATTGGACGGCGATTGGGCGAGTTCCACCAGTGAGCCCCTGCCCATCCGAGCTGCGTCACTTCCTTCCTTTTTCCAGTTATATAGAGGAAGGCCAGCGCTTGAGATAAGACGGCGGAACTTGAAACAGAACAGCAGCGATGCCCAACGTTGCTCCACGATTGGACCCTGTGGGACCGCGATTGGATCGCGATTGGCCGGCGATTGGGGGGTCCCCAGGCAAAGTAGTTTTGCACAACCGACACACATTGGACCTATTTGAGAGTGCTACATTGCCAATGTATGATAAAGCGTTTCGGCGTCATGGGGGCTGCTTTCTTCCATGTTCTGATTCAAGCATGGTTTCTTGCATTCTGCCTCAAAAACAATTTTTTGATGCAGAAGAAAACAAACAACAACATTCGAAGACCTGTGCTCGAAGCTCCAGCTAGATCGTTCAAGGCGCAGAGATCCCACGGGGCTTCCTAAGCATGTTGGACCATGTCTGGGTTTGGGAGTGGTTCTGACTGACCATTGAACTATGACATATAGGTTGTGTCAAATAAGGGACCCCCCCCCCCCAAATGGGTGGTTTCCTTTTGGTTTCCCGAAGAAAAACAACCCCAAAATGTGGTGCTCCAAAACAAACACCCCATTTGACGGTTTTTTTCTGCACTGGATTGAGAATCATCAAATCTGCAGCTACCCGACTTAGACTAGTTGTCGAGCCGATGGCACCGGACACCTGGGCAATTGGAGAGTGTGCGAGGGAAAACCAGCACTTTCTCGCTCAGAAGAATGAATCCCTTCACATATTTGCACAGGCCTAAGTTGGGTCTGGATCCGTATACTTTCCATAGGGTCTGCATTGCAACCACCTTCAACTCTAATTTGCAAGACAACTTTTTCGTCATGGTGGACACTTAGGGTAGGCTCTGTGAAAGCTTTTGTTCGTGAAAGGTATGGGGGCCAGTGTTGTTTTGTACCAGCCCCAGTTGGGGCTTAACCAGTTGTTTGGTTGGTTGGTCGGTCGGTCGGCCGGTTAGTTGGCTAGCTGTTTCCCCAACATCCCCAGCCTCACTTGGACTATTGGCTCTGACTTGGTGGCCATTGAGACTTTCCCGGGGCTGGTTTAGTTACGGTGGGTTTTAGGCTGGCTTCGATCTTAATGAGGGCGAGTCTGGGGTTGGTTTGGGGATTCAGTCAGGCCCTTTGCAATCCAGCCTAAACCCCCGGAACTAAACCAGTCCTGGGCAAGTCCCAGTTGCCACCAAATCAGAGCCAGTAGTCCAAGTGAGGCTGGGGATGTTGGGGAGGCGGCCAACCGGGGCCAACCACAGAGATTCCGCAGTCAGCGCCCGCCCGCGCGGAAAACCGGCGTCGGTTTGGTCCTCGCACGCCTCGCGAGGGAGGGATACAGCCGCCAGATCACTGCCACGGAGTCCGCCGCCGCTTTGATGACTTTGGTGTGTGTGGAGGGGGCTGGGGGCTTCAAAGAGTTTGGGTGGTAAAGCAAACTGAGTTTGGCTGGGTTTGGTGCCAGCCATATCCAAATTGCCTCTTGTTTGGGTTTCTATGTTCCCTTTGGTCGAGGGTCGGGGAACAAAGAAAGGGTCCACTTATCCCAGAGATTCTTACCACCAGCTAAGCGTAAAATGTGGTTAGAGTCTCTTTTGTCTGGGCGGGGGAGTGGGCAGCGTATCTGTATAGGCCTTTTTCTTGGTAATGCTGTTGGGTTGCAGTACTGCTTTTCCACGTCTTGGGCAGGTATCCAAAGGAACCCATTGCAAACCAAGTGGGACATGACCAGTTTAGTAAGGTGGAGGAAGGCTCCGGGGGTACCTTCCCTTTGGGCTTTCCCCAAACCATGCGGACAAAGTAAATTGCGGCTTCGCAAAGGGCTTTGGCTTGCGATCGAAAAGGCCCCCATGAATGATGCTTTGGTTCCTGTCACAGGGGTCCTTCGTGTTTGGGTTAGGTGACTCGCTTGCCTTTGCCACATGATATGTTTTACTGGCAGCCAAGTGAAGCAAGCTAAATCTATTGGGTGTCAGGGCTTGACTCCAATCAGGCTGGAACAAACGGCAAGCAGCCCAAACGCCAAGCGTCTCATAGAACAACCTGATTTCCACCCTGAGCTGCGAATGTCAGAATTCCAACCCTCTTTTGGAAGACAGGATGGTGTTGGTACACTGCCACGCCTTTGGTCGCCTGATCGTTGGGCAATGAAAGGATATGTACAAGAACACGATACAGAACAAGTCTTTCTCGGGATGGAGGTAGACCTTCAGACATGCGGCGAGGTAGCTTGAACACTTTCAACTTGAGAGTATCACAGGCTAAGCAATATCGCCGTGTTTGGGGTCAGAAGTGTAGCAGGTTAGCAACTCACCGATTCCTGGGGTAAAACGCGCTCGCCCATGATGAAGCTCACTCACTTAGGGATTCCTTAAGTCTGGTTGTTGACTGATTGTAAATTGTAAGTATTGCAGATGTATTGCATTCATGGCCGATTATGAAAGTTGAAATCACATATACAGGTATATATGTACACATATAGTAGTATGTATGAATGGGGTGTTTTTGTTCTGGAACAGCTCATTGTTCCTAGGGTGTGTGGCTTCAGTGTTGTATGTGAGGACTTGAAGCAGACGGTTTGGAGCTGGCGTTTTCTGCTCTTCAACATTCCCTGCACTTCCCCTGAGGTGGTCTCACACATCACCTTTCGGCGCTTGAAACAGTCACCCGCAAATGGGTGCAATGTTTTTTGGGTACATTCAGTTAGAACCCTAACTCTCTTGAACCTCGATTTAGGAGGGATCAACCCCTTTGGGCCTTGGACCAGACATATACACGTCATTGTGAGTGGGCCAAAGCTTCCAACTCAGATTGGCAAAGAGGGGGAACAAAGGTTGGGATTAAGTTTCCATTTGATTTAGTATTGCCCACGCTTCCTTTTAAGATGTTGATTTGAATTTCCGTTTGATTTATTATCTTGCTTTTAAGATTTCGATGTTTTGGGGAGGTGCCAAGACTCAATTCTAGGGGCCCCTGAACTAGAGTCAAACTGCGGGGGCCTGAAGTAATTTGATGGGCAGGTTTTAGACAAGAGCCAAGTAAGAAAACATGAGTTTGGGGAAGCTGAACATGTTGGATCCTGGAAAGGCCCAAATCCAAAGCCTGAAGCTTCACCAGCGTCTGGGCTGTCCATTTGTTTAGCTAAGAGGTAAGTACACTGGGCAGGTTGTATTTTTTCAGAGGCGGCAGGCAGGACGTGTAGGGGCCCTTGAACCTGAGTCTTGGCCCTTTTGGGTTTGATTGCGGGCAGTTTTCAACAAGAGACCTGTTCTTTTTTAACAAAAACACAATCATGATTTTGGGAGGCTCGAATCATGTTTGTGGGTGCGAACAGTTTGTCGTTTTATCCTTTTGTTGGGTTGTGTGGGGGGGGGGTGCTTGTCTTCTTTCCACGCGTTTTTGTTGATTGTTTGGGCCCACTTATATAAAGCGGGGACCAACTCAAAAGGTTCAAAGGCAACTAAGAAGGGACCTCAACCCCCGCTCCCCCCCCAACCCCCCTTCCGGTGTCGTTTTTCGCCCTTCCCATGGAGGTCCAATGCTCCAACCCCCAATCCCAGGCGGGTTTGAGCACACTCTCTAGAGCTTCAGCGTTCCAACTGTTCAGTGCCCAAAAACAGCCACCAACTTCTCAGTGCCCAAAACCAACTACCAACTTCTCAGTGCCCAAAAAGAAAAAGCAAACCCTGATTTCTCCGTGCCCCCCAAAAAGAAGCCGCCGCCATATTCTCACCCAGGTCTTGGTGGGAGATCTGCACGGCCAGCTCTTCGGGCTGTTGGCCTGGCTGGGGAAGGTCAAGGAGTCCTACGCCCCCCAGGCGCCGCCCGCGACTGGGCCGGGGGGCCGAAAACCCGGGGGGCCGGGAGGGGGCGGCGGGCGATGTTTCGATCGAAAACCCCTAGGTTGGGAACCCTGGATATTGGGACACCATGGCGTTTCAGTCCATCTTCGCGAACCCGTTTCGATTCGGCTCGGCTTCGGCTTTCGGAGGGCTACTCACTGCTGGAAGACTCTAACCTCTTCTTCTGCGACGAGCGCTTGCAGCACCCCGGGCCAATGCCTGGGGCGATATTTCGAACATTTCCCAGCGCAGTTTCTGTGTGAACGCTGGATTAATGAACCCCAGTTTAAAGGGGCTTTTGCTCTTTTGTGGAATCACTTTTGGGGGGTAACTCCCCAATCAGCAGTTTAAGACATATAGTTTATTTATTTGTGGGGGTTTTCCAGTTCTGGTGGCGTGTCGCTTTTCGAGATACCCGAAATGTGGGATGGGTTGAGAGAGAAGCAGAAAGTCAACCAATTTTAAGCGTCTATTTTGAGACGAAGGTCATCAAGGGAAGCCACCATTCAAAAACGGGGGAAACGACTTCAATGGCAACCGGACGTACTAAGCTTGGTTTGCCCGTTGTATGGGGATTGTAGCAGGGTTCCAGAAAGGCATTGTGTTGAACAACAGGCCCCTGAGGCTGTAAGATAGGGTCTGGGGAACAGTACGGTTATAGGGGGAGGGGTGGGCAAGCAGATCCCAAATGGGTCCGGTTGATGTCCCCACTAAAACAAAGAAGCTAAGCGAGCAGGGCGGCTTTCTACAACTCCCCGCAATTGTGTCGAGCAGTGGGTCTAGTAGGTAAAAAAGCAAAACACACGGATGTCAAGTGAGTTGCTCCCATTCAATCATTGGCCGGTTTTCCGAATTGGCTTCCTTCTGAATACCATTCCAGAGCGGCTCCCGATTTTCGGTGAGGGGCTGCACTTCGTATCGCGCCTTCCAAGCTTTGGCCACAGGTCACTGTCAGCCCACTGGTTTGTAGTCGGCCGATTTGAGGCATCTAAGTGGGTGTTTTTTGGGGGAAGTTGGGTGGGAGGGGGGGGGGGGGGGGCGCACGGAAACTGTGAGTTTTCTAAGTCGCAGAGTCAGATGGATTGCACGCAGTCGTAGGAACGTCACATAGGCAGAAAGGGGTGGCAACCGGCAACTTTTTCAATTTCCGCAAGCCGCCCTTGGCCTCACCCTAAATCGGTACAGTCCCCCACCCCAAAGCTAAATCGGTATATCCATTTTTGTAGAACAAAATGCGTTCTGGGCACAGTGGTTACGTCATGGCCACCTCAAAGCTCGACCTGTGATTTCCATACCCCAGTGCTTCCACTTGTCATTTTGCGTGTAAACCATGCATGGTGTTGTTTGTTTTTTTCTTATTTTTTCTGGATATCGTCGCGCTGCGCGAGGCCGAACTATTGCCATTGTGGGGGTTTAGGGTCCGGACAAGATTGTTTTTAGGGGGGTGCTGTGACCACAGTTTCCGAAGCATGCATTTGATGAACTTTGAACAGTGCGCTGGGTGCCTCCGCAGGCCTCCGCATGTCTCGTGAGGCATGTCTTTGACCATTTTTCCAATCTCTCTTGGACCACGATGCGCATGCCTTGCAAAGCAAGTTCGAAAAGCACGGACGACGAAGCGCATTCCCTCCCCCCAAACCCACCCCACCCGAAACACATGCAAGTCCCCAAAACTTCGATCTTGGTGTTGCCGCGTTGCAGACAATGGCCCAAACGTAACCTGTGTCGTTTTTTCGGGTCGAGTTACCGTGTGGAGGATCGGCTTGGGTTGTTGTTAGCTACTTTCTCTGAGAAATGTGTGTGGGTTCCTTTGGTTTGGAGCTGGTGCCCGTTTTCGGAATCAAGGCAAACACACATGCACACACGCACACATCCGCGATTGTTGTCACTTACACCGCATTCGAGTTTTCTGAAAGCTACGGGACATATCCATGATCCCCTGGATATTATGATATTTCATGGCATTCTGCATCTAATTTTTGTCATTGTTCTAGGATGGACACGGTAACCTTTTGCCTGCAAACACCCGTGGCTAAGGTATGTCTTCATGGGCGACTACGTTGATCGCGGCGCCTTGGCCAGTGGTTGGCAAGCCATTACAATGCGTAACCAAGAAGCTTCACCTACCCAAAGCTGGTTACCTACAGTGGCGGAACTGGCTGGGGATTGATCATCTTCTGGCAGCTAACGCATCTATTGAAAGCAAATTTGGACGTGTGACAGCCGAGCCAGGGGTGCAAGTTGAGGCTGTCATTGGAAAGACGGGGGGGGGTCCCTGAAGTGGAACACTTCAAACGTCTCAAAGGCGGAACATCAACACTTTCCAAAGCAACCTTGGACCAGATTGAAACCAACATTTGCTTGACCAAACAGACCCCTGCCAAAGTGCCCCCTGATTTTGGCGCCTATTTTGGGCAGCGGTGATGCTGGTTGCTCCTCCATTCATTGGGGTTGGATAGTGCATCCGCACTCAGAACATTGCCTCGTGAGGGAGGGTGGAAATTCAATCTATTTTGCACTATTTTGTTTGCCTCTGTTTATTGGGGTTGGATACTGCATCCGCACTCAGAGCATTGCTCGTGAGGGCGAGAAACATGGTAGAAATTCAATCTTTCTTGCCTACCTCTGTTTATTCGGGTTGGATAGTTTGATCGGGTTGGATGGTTATAATATGTCCGTACCCTGGAGCAGCGTTTGGCGGGCCACAAATGGGGTAGGAGCAGGGAAATGCCATTTGTTCCTTCCCTGTTTAGCATTACCTGCCTGCACGTCGAACTCCTACCCTGGTTCTGGTCCTCACGAGGTACTGTTCTGTGTGCGGAGGCCCGGAAGCATAGAACACGTGAAGTATACTCTGACATCCCCTTTGTGAGCAACAACACGTAAGCACATCAATGTGCCTGCTCGAGCGGCTTTTGCAAATTCTGATGAGCAAGCTTACCATCACGCTTCATAATTTTCTTTTGTTGCGCGTGATGCAGCCGTGCGTGATGCGGTGCTTGATGTTGCGCATGTTGCTACGACGTAAATTGATGCTGCGTGTCAAGCTATGGGTGATGTTGCACATGATGCCGTGCATGATGCTTTTCGTGACGCTGCGCATGACGCATGACGTTCCCTCTTGCACGTGATGCTCCTCTCGGTCGCCCAACCATCCATGGTTGTTTCTCTTGTCAACCCTTGTTGTCCATATCTGGTCGCAGTTTGGCCGGGCAAGAAGGCTGGCGGTTTTAGCTGCGGAGTGCACTTCGTAGACTGCTTTTGCGATTACACGTTGCGATTTTGAGCTGGGGATGCGGAAGTGCAATTCGCGTCCTGCCTTGGCATGGTAAAGTTGCGGTTTTTGAGCTGGAGACGCGAGTGCGCGCTTTCCGAGCATTATTTTTGTGCCATTTTTTGTGTTTGAGCTGGAGCTGCCAGAGTGCACTGCGCGAAGCAGCTCTGCACGCAGAAGCCTACGATTTTCAGCCGGAGCTGCGGAAGTGCGCTTCGTGTTAGTACTTCAAAGTTGAGTTTTTCGAGCCGGAGCTGCACGAATGCTCTCCGCGTACTACTTGCACGCCTAAACTTAGGATTTTGCATCACCACCCCCTTACTCCTCGATTAGGAGGGGGTCAAAAAGTGTAAGTTACATTTTTGGGGATCAACTTCCCTGTGGTTTTCGGGGCCGGGGGGGGGGCTAAATGGAGAGTGAGCACGTCAAAGATTTAGCATGGGAAAGGCTTGGCGCATGTTTGGCATGTTTGACCCCGCCCCCCTCCACCCTCCCATGCCTCAAAGCCAGGGAGTTGAGCCCCAAAAAGTGTAAGTTACATTTTTGACCCCGTCCAAATCAAGGATTAAGGGATTAAGGCAAAACACACAAAAGGATTAAGGAATTAATGGATTTTCTATCGTTTTTAAAGTTTGGCAAAGCACACCTGGCCCTGGCTCCTTTGAAATGATTGTATGCTTTGCGCATATGTTTTCCGTATTTGCCCATTGCTTTTCCAGAAGCTTGACTCGGACAAAATCTGTGAGCCTTGCCCAGCGCACTCCAAGGGGGCCTCCTTATTGGATTGCTTAAAAGCTGAAAGCGCGAACCTCAAAAATGTAACATTACAATTTTCAGGTCCCCCCCCCCTTAAGGGGGTGGTGATGGATTTTGCAGCTGGAGCTGCGGAAATGCACTTTGCGTACTACTTTTGTACACAAGAATGCACTTCGCGTCTTATGCGCTCAAAAACTGAGACTCTTGTTGGCTGGAGCCGGTCTTTCTGCAGGCGTTTGAACCGGTCCCGGGGCTCGCCTGAGGAGAGCGTGGCACTGAGACGACGCTACTGGTGCTGGCCTACAAGGCAACTTTGAGTCAGATTTTAGGTGCCCTCCCGAACTTTTATGGAACTTGAATGGGGCCGCCAAGTTGCCATTGTTCGTTTAAGGGTCCATGTCGGCTTTGAACGTGAGTTTCTGGTAGGTTGGAGATCTAGTGGGAACCCTGTGAGGCTCTCGCCTCCTAAATCCCCCTAACCTGAAAGATTTTGCTCCGGGTTGGATTGCAGGGAAGACCCGAATTGTTTGTTGGTTGTCTTCTTCCTCTTTGCATTTTGTTTCCTCTCGTGCCCCTTTCTTCTCGCCCCTTCCCTTTGCCGCCGCCTTCGCTGGCTCTGCCCTTTCTTTGGCGGCGCGTGCGGTTGCACGCGCGGGCCGCCACCTTGGTGCGGTGGCCCTGCATTTTTTTTGGCGGAGCGAGCGTTTGCGCGCGCAGGCCGGCCAACGCACGCGCGGGCCCCGCCGCCTTGGTGCAGAGGACACTCCTTTTTCTTTGGCGGCGCGTGCATTGCGCGCACGGGCTCCGCTGCCTTGGTGTGGCGTTGGTGCGTTGGCCTTGCCTTTTCTTTGGTGGCGCGTGCGTTTGCACACGCGGGCCCCGCTGCCGTGGTGCGCTGGCCCCGCCTTTTCTTTGGCGGCGCGTGCGTTTGCACTCGCAGGCACCGCCGCCTGGTGCGCTGGCCCTGCCTTTTTTCTTCGGCGGCGCGTGCGATGCACGTGCGGGCCCCGCCGCCTTGGTGCGGTAGCCCTGCCTTCTGTTGGTCGGCGTACGTCGGCGTGTGCATTTGCATGCTCGGGCCCTGGCGTCTTGACGTGCTGGCTCTGCCTTTTTTTGGCGGCACGTGCGTTTGCACACACGGGCCCCGCCGCCTTGGCGTGCTGGGCTTTTTTTTCTTTGCCGGCGCGTGCGCTTGCACGCTCGGGCCTCGCCGCCTTCGTATGTTCTTATAATGATGTGCTTTCCGTTTTTCCCGAAACTGAACAGATCTGGGCTCTATGTTCACTCTTGGCTATGTGAGGCTGTAGGTTGGTGCCAAGCTCCAGGTGCCCTTAGGCTTTCCGGTGAAAGCCGAAGGGGACTTTTGGGCTCCACCGGGTTCTTTGCGAGGATGGATCACTTTCTACTGTGTTATTGTTCTTTGCCAGGGCCGGTGTTGTGGCGCACAGCGGGTCCAACAAACAACCAGCTTGGATTCTGACGGCGGTTTTTGAGCCAAGCACTGACTCAGCCCGATGCAACATCCTGACCGAGACGAGGCCTACCACCTCATCAACACCCCCCCCCCCGCCCCCCAACACCAGAACAGGTGGGGCAACATGAAACCAAAAGCTTGGGAGCCTTGTCTGGGGTACTCACCTAAAGATTGCTGTGGATGCCCCAAAAGCGGTCCAATCACAAAGGAGAATCCGCTCAAATGTGAGTTGTCGGTGTTTGTTTTCATTACGCCCCTTCGGCGTTTTGACAACCACGGATTCAAACTTCTGCCCCTCTGCCATGTCGCAGGCTCTTTGCCCGACCGGCATCATCATTCTGCAGGGCAACTCGTAGCTGATAGCTGTTCGAGCCAGTGATGCTCGTTGCCTCGTGACTTTGGGCCCCTGAAAGCACCTGTAAGGCGCCTCACCTCTTTCCAACACAGGGGGCTCCATGGATTTCCCCTGTGTTCGATTCAAAGTGAGCTTCCTCTGTGGTGATTTGAACCCCTCCGTGCTAGGCTTGAGACATAGCCTCAGAGAACACATCTGGTTTCTGGCAACCTCTGCTTTTGAAAGTCTGTTGGAGCTGGTCATCCTCTTTCATCCTGGAGTTTGGGGATGTTGCTTCCGGAAAGGAAGCCCTGCTCCTCAAAAGGATGTTGGGCTCTTGTTGTCTTTACTCAATCCTTGATACACATGCCTTTCCAAAGTCTGTGTGTTTTGCTTGACATGTTTATTTATGCGGCGTTGTGGGCCAAATGGCAGCAAGGTCACACACTCCAGCCACGGCCAGCCAAGCATTGAGTAGCTGGAAGAAATACATGTGCGGATGTAGATGCAAGGAGAGGTCCGTTCACGTCGTGAATAGTGAGATTCTTTCAAATAAAGTTAGAGCGATACACCGACGGAATGGAGAAAGCTGTGGTGATGACTTTGTTTTTTGGCTCTTAATGTGACTGCCTTGACGTCGGTTGTTTAATAAACAGATCTGCGCACCCCATTTGGTCGAAACGTCGTCAAACTCAGGAACATGCAAAACACACACCCATCGGAGAATCATAATTTCTGAGACCAACAAATTTGAGCCTTGGCCGCGCTGGTGGGTTTGTCAAGCCCACAGGCACGGCTTTCAAAGGTAGCTGTCTTGAATCTTAGCAATGATGCCTTGCATCAAGGCAATGCATGAGAAATGGTGAGGTCAGCTCAGAGATATTCGACTGCGCGCATGATCCAGTTGGGAGGCTTAAATGGGCATCCATCATTTCGCCTAGGCAAGAAAGATGACAAGCTGAGATTGATGTTTGGTCGAACTGCAAGCTATGGCATGCACATTTACACAAGCTTGGCTGTTCCGGGGTCAGCAGCCTAGCGGTGGTCCTTGACTGTAGACACTTACACTCACAGATCGCGGGAGCATTAGGACCGGATTCCTACAACGTACCCCCAAAAATCCTTTGCATTTGGTTCCCGCCACATGGACTTTTGTACAAGGTTAGGTAGCTGGGGAAGCCACGACTAAGTGCAAGCTGCCTCGAGGTCGCACAAAATCTCTAGATCTGTCGCTGTCTTGTTTGGAGGGGAACTGTCCTTTGGGTCGGTTTCAGGGGAAACGAAACGACAATCAACCTGGGATTTTCGTATCTCACTTGGAGACAGACCCCAGTTTTGGGCAACCTTGTTGGAAACCTTTCAGGCACCTGCCGCTTGGATTCCGTCAACAGGACCTTTTGAATTTCAGGTTGGCACTGGACACTCACGCCTCAACTTCAAGCCCATAGATATCATGTACATGCGGATTGATGTCCCTCACCCATTTTGTGCTTTGCTCCCAATTGAAATTCAACAAGAATAAGTTATTTGATGATTCTTCCCAGAAATTCGCTTCAGACATTGGCTGAAAAACAAGGGGGGAGTTGCTTCCTCGGCAAAAGCATGGCAGATGGTGCATGGCAGATGGTGCATGCATGTATGTGTGCGTGCATAATATCTGAATATATATTCACCAGGCTGACGCTTGACTGCCGCCGACCCCTGCGGTTTCCGAGGTCTAACTTTGTGAGGTGCGAAATGTGGACTTTTCGCACCTCAGAAATCAGAGACCAGGGAGGAGTTGAAGCATCACTATTTTTCAGGGCCAGCAGGGCCAGCTCTTGCGCCAGCCCCATGGCCAGCCCCAGGGCTGCAAGTTCGCGCAACGGTCAAGTTTCGCCAGGGCCAGAGGCCTAGGGGCGTCCCCCTCCCCTTTGTTCTGGGACTGGGCATGGGGCCAGCCCTGGGGCTGGTTTTGGGGAAGGTCACATTTTAAACAGCAGGAGTCGGCGGCAAAAAAATTGTATGAACCAGAACCCGTACCTCCAAGCTTGAAATCTGAAGCAAAGCAAGACACAAGCTGAGGCAATCACGAGCAGAGGACCGGGTTTCGGACTTGCCATCGGATTGGGGGATTTGCTCCCGATATCTGCCCAGAGACTGGCGGGGGCGGGGGAAGGGGCGGGTGTTTGAATCATCCTGGTTGAATTCAGCGTTTTTGCGCCGCCCTTTCGAGGAGGTTTTGCGAACCCAAAGGGAACGCCCATTTTTCCCCAAAAAAACGACCGAAAGGAACCAAACACATCAGCCGGAGCTTCCTCTGGCAAACAACCCGCTTCCAGAAGTGATGATGGAAGGGAGACCAAGAGCCTGTTAGTTTCGGTCACATTAACAACAGGGCTGGAGCACCACCTTCTCGCCCATGGACGAGACCAAGCGAAATCGCCACTGCTCCAAGAGTTTTCACGCACGTTTTCAGGGGCATGAAGTGATGTGGTTTTGAACAAATGTGCTTCGGGTAAACTCTACCGATGAAAATGGAACTGCTTAGAGGAATCTCCTTGAACTGTTGTTTCTTTGGCGTCTGGTTCTTTGGCGCTCCAGGGCCATAGGCAGAAGTCAGTGACCCAGGTACCAGGTGCCAGTTCCAGGTACTTCACAAGATACCCATCCCATGTAGGTTTCATGAAGTTGACCTTCGAGTGTCTATGGACATGTGAATACAGCAAGGCATTTGTTACTTCAATTGACTTCAAGCTCCCATGCGAGTGTCTCAAAGTTAGAAAATTGAAATGAGAAAGGTAACCCCAAGATGGCTTGGAAGGGAGGTGATGACTGGGAACTAAGTTTCTCATTTGTTGGCGCCGAAAGCGCATGTGGAACTTCATAAGAGGCTTACACAAAAGCAGCACAAATGGACCCGCGTATGACGAGCAGCGGGGGCCTGCTACCTGTCTGCAGCGGAGCCATTTAAAGTGATCACATTTGGGAATGGAAACCCACTGGTTTCAGTTGCACAGCAGATAACGAGGTGTTTTCAACCTTTTGGCTTTGGTTTCTGCTGATTACCTACTAGAATGGTAGGAAGCTGGATGGTTTGCCGGATGCTCACCTCCGGCCATCCGGCAGGCAAACCGAGACCGCCTATGGCTTCGGGCACGAGCTCCAGCATAAGTTCCCCACCAAGAGCGTGAAAGTATGGGACCTGTTTACCAGAGTCTTTGAGGCAAGCGACGGTACCTGGAGATGGAGTTTGGCATGTTCTTATCTGGTTCATCCGCTTTTCGGGCTGTCAGGAATCTTCAGGGGTTACATTCGAAACTAGCTCAAGTTACAGATGTTTGCGAGTCAAGAGCACTGCGCGATGCTTTCTTGCGGCTTGAGGGACAATTCGATTGCCAAATGCATTCGCAAAGCAAAGCGCAACAAGGGTGCCCTTCGCCCGGGGCTGAATCGGCCATGGCCACCCTTGAAACTTGAGTGACAGGCAATCGCTCGAGGTTGGCCATTTAATGTCAAACCCGAATATATGGGTACCATTTTTTTCTTTCTCTGGGTGGTTGCAGCTGCACGCGTCGGACACATTCCCGGATAAAAAAGAAGGCGCCTGCCTCTATAACTCCTGATGTTGTGATCGATGCTGTGTAGCTTCTCAACCATGTTGCGATAGAAACTTATATGCGTAAGAGGCCTTTTTAATTGCTCGCTAGTTGGAGCGACTCGACTTCTGCGGAACACGACACCGAACCCAAGATATACATCCAGGCAAAGCACAATGACATCTTGCATGTGCGCATAAGAGCAGCCAAGAGCAGCCGCAGCCGCTGAAATGCACCAAAGTGCAGCTTACAAGCTGCGACTGCAACCCACGCAAATTACAAGCTTAGCGGGCATGCAAACGTGTGACGGCGCTGGAATGAAAGCATCCGCGTGTGCCTGTGAGTGTGTATGTGTGTTTGTGCCTTTGGGTATGCCTGTTTGGGATTGACGGCCGTGCGCATTTTACACGGCTTTTATCCACGTTCATGTTTGTATGTTTGTACCTGTGCTTGGGCCGATGCCGTGTGTTTGTGTTTGCGTTCGCGCTTGTCTGTTTGCGTTGCGTGTGTGCGGTTGCGGGTTGCGTCTTTGCGCGTCGTGTGGTCGCGCGCTGTCAGGGGTTGCCCTACATGGCCGTGTCGCCTGGGAACTTCATGGCGACGCACGGCGGTCTCAGCTCCAAGTTTGTGGCAGCTTGCAAAGGCAGGAGCGAAGGTAGCTAGGTTCCCTTTCGGATCGAGGTCTGGTTTAAGGAATGGGTAAATCAGTGATAGCGGCCAGACTGATCTGGAGAAGTCACTGAAGTGATCTCCACCTGAGGTCAAAGTCAAACAACAGGACGGCGCAATTCAGGTAGGAAACCAAATGCTTTTCATCTCCAATAACATTGGCACGCCTTTCTTTGTCATTAGGTTCTTTCTGACTGCGCGGCTGACGAATAAGGCTCCAATCAATTGTGCGCTAGGTTTTGTAGCGCAGGGTTGCTTTCAATCATTGTGCTGAAGAGTGCGAATAAGTAGCTTTCATCACCTCCGGGGAACGAGCACAATTTTTTGGTCGATTGTCAGTTTGGCCGCGAAAGGGAATGCGCGAAGGATTGTAATTTCTTAGGGCGGTCCGTGGGTCAAGTGACAGCTTGGGGAAGCTGCGCTGGAATCAGCTGCGCAAAGCTGCTTGGATTGAAGTGAATTTCAGCTGAGCGTGCTTGGCTGCTTGTTGGTTCCAGGTTGAATGCCCCGCAAGAGAGAATTGTGCGAAAGGCTTCGCATTGGGTTTGCCTGCTCGAATGGGTTTGGTTTGCGCAAAGGCGGAAGGCGCCAGATATGTCGAATGTTGTCCAAAACCAACCTTGGATTTGGCTTGTAGGATGTTCGGCTTGATGGAGGGCTTGATGCTTGCCCGAACGCAAGCGCAGCAATGCTCAAGGCTTTTTGTGTACAAGAGGACGTCGAGACACAGATGCCTAGTGGCTAAAGTCAAGATACGGTTGAGCAAGACAGACACCAGCATCATGATCCTGCAAGCAATAGACACGTAAGCCAAGCAATAGACGCAAACGTGAACATAGCCCAAGTTAAACATGACCAGGTTCTCCTTTTTATAAATACCAACCAAAAGAGGTCCACTTTCAGAAGCTTTTATGTTACAGGGCTTTTGGACTTGCCAAACTAGTCTTCAGGCAAGCCACTGTAGTCGCACCAGTCGACGTTAAACGGCCTTGAGCTGCGGTGATTGTTCACAGCCTGGGTAATTCGTACTTATTCCAGATGAATGATATTGCGCGATTCCTGTTATGTTGTCGGGCGCATGCAACTTGATAGCCATACACATAGATATGTATGTATATATATATATACACATGTATATATATATATATACCTGGTCCATCGAATGGTGTTCCTTTTTGCGCATGTCCTTGATTTGTTGGTCGGGCCATATTTTGGTGGTCGTGTTGGAAAAGCGAAAAAAAGAGGTCGCAACCAGGCCATCGCCGAGCCCTGTTTTATAGTCATGTGCATGATGCACAACATGGAGCAAAAGCCACAAGATGACAACATTGCATGATAAATAGCAAGAGCCGAACATTACACCAGAAATGGGTACAAAAGCAGCAGCCCGCAGCGACATGCCAACAATCAGCAGCCACCAGCAACAATACTTAAGCAGCATCAGCAGCCACCAGCAGCAAAGCAACAGCATCATGGACATGATGGGGAGCGTGTGTCATCCTCCTGGCGGGTGGCAGAGCCGGGGTCACAGTTGCCCTACACAAGCGCGCTTGTGCACTGATGCACGCGGGTGCGCCTTAAGACGCCTATTGCGCAGAGTTTTGGCTCTTCAACCCATCTGCTGTGCTGGGAAAGTCAAAGATGGCCGTTGAGTTCCCCTTTCCTGATCTTCGAGATCAGGATATGGCAGTCATGAAAAAGTTCAAGGCTGCCCCTCGTTTGCACATATTTTCCAAGTGTCTCAGCCCAACAGCCCATTCAGCTGTTTGCCGTTCGCATCCGTTCGTCTTAAGGATTTGGCTGGCACGCTTGGAATCAGGGGGGGGGCGACTTCGTGCCCTAAACCGGTGTCCTTGTGAGGCGGCCGGGCATGCCGCGCTTGAGCATTTGCCAACTCTTAGACAAACATAGTTGATTGCAAAATGCATCAATGGGAATTGAATATCTTAGCCATACAAACCAGTGCAGCATTTAATGGTGAGCTTTGTTGTTCCCAGTTGAGCTCGACTCTTGACAAGCTTTTTTGCCGCTCTTGCAACATCAGCTAGCAACTTGAGATGGCACCTTTGCCTGGATCATTAGTTCGTATCCATGTCATTAGTTCGAGAATTGTCTTTTGGTCGCTTTTCTAAGTTGATGCAATCATTCTAGCAAGAGGTGAAGCCACCCTTCGCTGCGACCCGTCCTGCGCCTGCCCAAATCGCAAGAGGGGGGAGTTGAACAAACCCACCTTTTCAAGGGGCGCGTTCCTCTTAGCTTCCTCTTCGGGTATGGTGCATGAGTTTTGTCATTTGCCAATCATTTGGCTCAAGGCTGTGAAGGGGATCCTCGCGCTTGCGTCGCTGCCATAGTACTGGACATTCTTGAATCACTTGAATTCGGGTATTTCAACTTAAAAGGACCTGCCAGGTTCCATAGCAACCGAGGGTTTTTCCAAATGGGTGGCTTCACGTTTCCCGAAATAAACACACTCAAAAAAGGCCACCCTCAAAAAACACACACCCAGGTCCATTGAAGTGGTTGATCTGATGAAGAAAGCACTTGTGTTTTCCATGGCCCAAACTTGTGCCGGGCAATTAAACCATCGCTCCAGTCGCGCATGGCGCAGAAGGCGCGTGGCAAATTTGGCAGAACCACTGTCCGCTCTCACGCGATCTTTTCTGCTATCGGCTCCTGAGGAGCATGATAAGCCGATCCAGCCTTCTAGGAGCACCCAAAGATCCATGGAACATGCGGCGGGAAACAAGACGTAATGTGTCTATGCCCCCTGCGCAGGAAACGCGCAAACGACAATTTGCAATCCAGGGCTAATGGAGGCCCAAGCCATACTTCGCAAACTGGGATGGTCTTAGGTTGCATGAAGGCGTTTCTCAAAATGGTGGACCCCTTTTGGGAGGGCTTGAAAGGGAAACCAACCTAGTCCCCTATTTTGAGAAAACAGTGAAGTGCAATCGCGCGCTAGCCAGGACTGGTGACACTCTGGGTCACTCCCCTGAAATCCTTTCTTCAGGGCCCGCGACCCGCGAGTTTGGAATTCAGACATGCTGTTTTAACTACTCTACAAGAGGTATCAAAGTCAGTTTGGGTTCCTCTTCCAATAGGACCGCCAAGGGGAACGACTTTGATGATGCTAAAATAGCAGGGCCAGATTGACCAAATAAACTTAAACTTGTGTGCCCCACATGAGTTTGAGGCAGTCGTAAATATATTCGTGGTTCTTTTGGGCGCTGTGAAACATGCAATTGCATGAGTAAGTGTACGTTTTGACGGTGTTTGGGCATTGTTTTGTGTCGAAGCTATGGTTTTTTTTGGGGCCCCCTAACCTTAACCCGACATCCCCCAACACAACCACTTTTACTTGACCTCGAGGGATTTGTGGCCATTGTTTCTCCGGGTGTCCTAGGACTCACTTTGCAAAAGCAGCGCCCAAGCCGAAAGGGAAGAAGGAGAAGAAAACAGATGAATAGGTGCATGCAGTTTGCAGCTGCGCCCAGTTTTGAGTGTTTGCTGGTCTTATCAGCAGACCATTGGGCTGAAGCACTCCGAGGGCCTGGCTTTGGGACCATGGTCGTAGGTCAAAGCTGCATGGGTGGCAAAGGTAAAAAAAGCATGACAGGGTGAAACATTTGTGATGTTTGAATCGCATGGGTTTTGCCACCAGCTGCTTACAGGGTACAAGGTCTCACAGTTGCCTTGCGAGTGCGCTTAGAATCTTGGAACCCGCTGGAAAGAAATGCAAATGCCGAACACTGACTGCATGCCTTTCTCTCATGGCCTCCTTAGACATCTTGGCTTCCCCCCGCAGGTTCAGATGGCCCTCTACATCCAGTGGTACAAGATGTCATGGACACCTTTGTGGTTGATCGTCAGCAAATCTTGATTAACAATTTGAGCGCTCTATCATCTTGCACTTTGTGCTTAAGGCTACTTCCGCTACTGCTGCTGCTAGACAAGCGTGGGGAGCTGGAAGCCTGGCTGTGTGGTCACATGCGAAAGTGCAGCTGGTGGAGATCGGCCGAGCGACTTCAGCGCGGTCTGGCAACAAAAGCCGCAACTTTGTGGCGTACCTGAAAAGGAAAGGGTACATGCTGAATGCTCCCATCAAGTTCATCAAAGGTGTTCCTTGGATTTTTACTTGGCAAACAACCTTGGACTCTTGGGGGTTGTGGTGGGTGAGGTTGAGACACCTGCATATTCATGCCTGATTGGTCAGCCAAGTGACTGGAATGCCTAAGGTTCGCTACAGTCTGAAGAAGAAGCGCAGGAAGAAGTCCCAGAAGAAAGGGCATTTGCACCCAATGATTTTGATTTGGGAAATGGCCCGCTTTCTGCTGACAGGAGCGTTTTCGCACAAACCCTTGGGCATGCCGGTGGATGACACAAGCTGGGCCCAGGCGAACTTGAATTTCTGGGAGAAAGCCAAGTGCATCATCCCTTCCCATGATGTCTATGAGCGCCACCGGAACCACCTTACTCATTGTATACCCTGCATTTTGCATGGGGACGAGGGGGTTGGGCATCGAAGAAGGCCCGTCTTACACCTGTCTTGGGGGCCGCTTCTTTCCGTTGGCATGAGTGCTGTGCATAGACTCTTTTTGATAACTTCATGCCCTCACAAACTCTATAGCAAGTTGAACAGTGGCTCTGGTGCTGGCAACTTGGTCATTGACCGGTTACTCGAGGAGTGTGGTAGGTCTGCCTCTAGGGCATATCATCAGGGCATTGAAACTGACCAAGGCACATTCTATTTGGTCTTTTTGGGTGCGTGCGGGGACCGCCCATGGCATACAAAATCATTTCGCTGCGTACGTGGCCATTTGTGCAGAGATATTTGCCATCATTGCATGGGCAACTTGAGCTCGATTCCTTTTGAGGATCTTTCAGACGGTGCCCTGTGGCGAATGACTATTTTCCAAACAACCCCCTGGCAGAGAAGCCCGCCGTTGCACTGGTTCATGGAGCTGACCACCCTTCATTTATAAAGAACGACTTTATGCACACTTTTCCCCACGGCTGCGCGAGAAATTACTGCGCCAGCATTATTTGCATGATGGCGGGCCCTCTTGACTTATTTCAACCGAGTTTGGAGTTGGAGGGGCGTGACAAATCGCGACGTCTTCACGAGGCATATTCGCACTTCTGGTCCTGGTGTCATTGCACTAGCTCTTTCCCACGGGACTTACAGGACTTCACCAAAGAGAATTTGGGGTGGATCAACAACCATGACTTCCCTGACATGTCGTGCAAGGCCAGTGACACCAATTTATTGATTCGCTGGCTATTGGATCTACTATCTACAATACCTTACGCCCGGGAAGAGTCTCTTGAGATTGCTTATAGCGGTCTTCGTGGGCCTGATGACTTCAGTCGTCTGGCCTATACAGGTGACAGAGTATTTTGGGACTCAGCGAAGCAGGAGAGGGGCTTGACAGCAGTTGCAGCGTTTTTGCATTCCTACCAACGTCTTGCTCACCTTTGGCTGACCCGCGGATGGACATTTTTCAACATGGTGCCGAAGGTGCACTACGCGGCACACTTTCACGAGGGGTTGCGGGAAGCGCGACGCCTTACACAGCCATTCGCATTTTCCCCGGGGCTGTTTGCCACCCCAATTATGGAGGATTTTATTGGCCTTACATCGCGAATGTCAAGAACAGTGCACCCTTCATCGGTTCCACTTGGCACCCTACGTAAATATCTTGTGCTTCTGCGGAAGGAGTGGACGAACAAGCTACCAACGCAGCCAACGCGTTGAAAAGGTGCTTGACGTGCAATTTGGCCAACATGGCGCAAACCCCCAAAATTCTTGCGAACAACTTTTTTGGGTCGGGCCATATATAAGTGATCGTGTTGGAAAAGGCTTAAAAGGTACAACGTTGGAGGCACCAGGTATATATATATATATGTATACATATATGGCTTGCGGTTTCGGACGTGTTTTCGAACTATGCTCGGACTATAATCGTTACTCGAAACCATCCGCTAGTCATGTATCATGTATATGTCCTTATGCTCATTAATGTGCTTGATGTACATGAAACAATTGAGCTTGCGCTGCCTCTGAATGGAATAATGGAATGGAGGGAGGCGGCGGGGGGGAGGGTTCCTTCCCCCCCGCTCCCCCTGCTCAGTGTTTTGCAGATCATTGACCTTTAGGCACAACCGGTTTGTATCACGTATACTATACATTTTGGCGCAAGGCCCCTTTTCTACCATAGAGTTCATGCTCGCCATGGAAAAAGACCTCGCTGCGCTCGCTCTCAGCACTGATTCATTCATACGTTGCATGGACCTGGGTTTTTCACCACAGTGTCAACCCATCAGGTCATCAGATTCTCGCTGCGAAACAGATCCAGGGCCCTTAGAGACTGCTACTACGGTGGGTATCTCCCCCTGAAGGATCAGATGCCCTCAGTGCGGGAGCCAAGGTTTGTCGAATAAGAATCATCACGGTGTCGTCAGATGGAGAAAGCTTTATGGAAGCTTTTATATCTATATATATACAGCTACCAGCCCAGACCGACCTATCAGCAGTAATTACTACAGACACTAATTTCTCGACGGCCGCCAGGCAGCCGCCGTCGTATAACTGGAAAAGTCAGCTGGGTTTGTTACGAGGAGCTCGTTGGTGCCTGGACCTCTTTCACCACCGTGGAATCAGAGCGTCATGAGAGACGTGTTCATGTATCGACAGCTACTCGACAACCCCTAGTCAACAACTTCAAGAACACGGCTGAAGAAGTACTTCCTGAAAGGCACGACCGTGTATCTTTATCGACCCCTCAGTTTCGTCAATCACAGAAGACACAATTCAGAGTTTCTCTTGTTCATATGAAAATTTGCGATCTTGCGACGCCAGCTGAAGGCACCGTGGTGTCCGTCATTGCGGCGCAATTGCCAGATCATCCCCACAGAGAAGAGCGGTCAGCCTCAGCAGCCAACTCAGGCTGGAGCGCAACAGAGACACCGTGACGCGGTTCCACTTGATGATGATAACTTCAATGCGCAGTTCTTCATCATTCAGAGAGCACTGTCAGATCAGCAGAGAGAAAGACTGATCAGTTCAATGTCTTTGAGGAACATCCAGGTGGAAACTTGCACACACGAGATGCCGAAGGCACGGTATCACGATCTCTTCACCAACACCAGAACTTCGATTCAAGATCCTACACTTCGTTTACCAAGAGGTTCTCGACAGAACGTCTCCTACATCCTCGAGCAAGAGAACACAAAGGAGAAGAAGGCTTTTAGGATGAGGACGAAGACGGAAACAAAGGTTTCATGGAACTGAAGAGGAGAAATTCTGGGCCCTCCAAGATCATGATGCATTCTCATTCAGAAACGTGTCAGCAACAAGAACAGGAAAATCAACAGGCGAAAAGCAATCGCCTGCGAGGGCGGTTTCAGAGCCATTGAAGAGCTTCGCAGACGGCGAGGCCAATGTGGCCAACGAACATCATGATCCCTACGGCCAGGCGTTTTGGGAAAAAGGCAAGGAAAATTCAAGCGCCCGACCCATTTCGATGGAAACAAGCAAGGGCTATGCGTCATATAACGACGGGAAAAGCGAGCGCGGAAAAGAAAAAAGAAAGTCCAAAACATTCGCCGCCGTCGCAGAGAAATCAGAGGAGCAAACCGTCACCCCCCTCATATGCCAGTTGGAACGATCAGGATTGGGATCCATCATGGAGTTGGACTGGTACTCAAGTCATGTGGTTTCCAGCGCAGGACATGGGATGATGGCATGTCATGATTCCTTTCAAAGAAGCTGTTGCTCAGAACCTTCGAGTGGCGACCAGTCGCAGCCTGCTAGCAACAAAGCGAATGGCGCCAGTCATAAACTCGAGACAACCCGACTATTGCAATGCTCGACAGTAGAATGAGAAGCTGGCGCGCGATCATGAAGAACTTCATCTCCTATAAGCACATTCCGGCAGATACCAAGTTCACCTTTGCCAATGGAGAGTCAGCCAGGGTCAACTGGACCTTGAACCTCGAGTGTCACACGACACCTCCAGCGAGCACCAACGTCGACATCCTTGAGAAAGCCTCAGCATTTGTCAAATGAGGAGTTTGTACATGACTATAAAGCACACTCTGTTTGTATGTTTGTATGCATGTATGTATGTACTGTATGTATGTACTGTATGTATGTAATGTAAGGTAAGGTAATGTAGTGTAATGTAATGTATGTATGTGTGTGTGTGCGTGTGTGTATGTATGTGAGTTTTTGTGTATGTGTGTATGTGTGTATGTGTGTATGTGTGTATGTGTGTGTATGTGTGTGTCTATGTAGTGTATGTGATGTACTGTACTGTACTGTAATGTAATGTAATGTTATGTTATGTTATGTTACTGTTTATGTATGTATATATGTATGTATGATTCATGTAGCTGGTTCATGTGTCTTGTACTTTACCCAATTGCCCTTTGGTGTTGGTTTTGTCTGTTTTTGGGAGTGGGTACACTCCCCACATGAACAGGCTAAAACAAATATATGCGCCTGGCTTATGTCGGATGCGCCTTGTGCCGCCGTACGGGCGCCAAAGGTCACCCCTCAAAGGGACCCAGATATTTTCCCAGAATGTGGGAGTGATCATTCAGATAAGTCACTGGGCTGTTCACAGGCAGCTACGCAAGGGCCCGGCTTTGCCAATAGGGAATATTGATTGGGATTGGGCAACACTTTGAACAGCCCAGTGTATTGTTACACGTAGCTATTGCCTGGATTATTGCGGCAATGTCAAGTGCTCCAGTTTCCGAAAGGTTCAGCCAAGAGCAGTCCAGCAGGTGGAGACTTCTCTACCTGCCTGACGAAGGAACTGGGCGACAAAATGGTTTGGCCGCTTCTGCCAAGTTTGATTTCTTTTGCGCGGGGGGGGGGGAAGCACATTCGCTGCGTTTCGGAATGAGTGTCTCTCAAAATGGTACCCGTTTATTTGGTTGGTAATTGAAGGGAAAGCAGAAGGAAACCAACCATTCTAGGGGACAACAATTTTGCGACCCCCCACAATGTCGGCGCGTGCCAACCAGAAACTGTCGCAGAGACCCAGCCGACTTGATGTTGAGTGTGGGTGTCCAAAACAAGCAAGCTTACACTACACCAGCATAGACCCCAGATAGCATAACACAGGTCGAGGATTGCACACTGGCCACTTGGCCCTCTCAAATTCAGGGACTTCTGGATGTAGTTGAAAGAACAGAAACCTTAAGTGTTTTTGTTTGCTCCATTTGTGCGGACCGCATAGGTGCTTGATGTTCGCAAAGGTTGAAGGGAAACATTGGAAATGGGGCAGCATTTGATTCCCAAACAGCACCCCAAGGCAGCACCTGCATCAGCACCCCCTTGCCCCGTAGCCCGACCGTCAATCTTGCAAGAATGCGCCCACACCGTCACCAGCACCCAAACAGCACCTACCTGTGCACGACCGACCTCAACCTGAATGACCCGGCCGTCGGTCTTGCAAAAATGCGCCCACACACTCACCACACCTCAAACAGCACCGCACCAGCACACGATCACCAGCACCTCAAACAGCACCCCCAACTGCATGACCCCTAGCATTGTCGTCGATCTCACAAATCACCTTCCCCTCTTTATCAGAAGTTGGAACCCCTATAGCTTTCAGCTATCTGGGGAACAAGCAAGCAACCACTAGGCTGACACGAACCTTTCAAAGTTTATAGATCGAGGGGAATTCACATTCCCGGCTCGAACAACTTAGCTGACGGTGCGTTTGTCACGCTTTGCGTGCGCGGGGTCGAACAAATGTTTTTGGTTCACAGTCGTTTTACGGGTTTGGCCACAAGCTTGCAGATCGTGAGACAGTGTGTCTTTTAGAGTGTGGCGGAGGCAAGCAACATGTCAATGTTGGTTCTAAAAGCAGTTGAGCAGCGCCATAAACCCTGACAATACAAAGTAGTAAAGGGGGGTGTCCTATAGAATCCCCGCGAAAGCCAAATCAGGCCGCGAAAGCTTGCGAAGGCTTATCGCGAAAGTAACCAAAGAAGGTCCCGCCGCGAAAGACCCGCGAAGGCCTGCATGCTTGTGACAGTCCGCCGCGAAAGCGTCGCGAAAGCAATTCTAAAGAAAGCAAAGCCCGCGAAAGCAAAACATGGGGTCGCGAAAGCATCGGGAAAGGGTCCGCGCAAGCACGTTCATAGGACCGCTTTTTGCACAAGAGTATTTGGCACGGCTCAGTTGGTGATCAATGCGTTGAATGGTCCTTCTCCCCGGCGTGTGTTCGCACTGCGAATATGCCCGTGAAACTTGCGCACCGGCTCCAATTCGGATCACTGCATTTCCCCACATTTGGGGTGTTGCACGTGTCTTCGCCGGGAACCCCGAGGTCCGATCCCGCCACCAAGAATGGGTTCTTGCCCTCCCGGCGAGGAGGTGGATTGCAGACGCAGCGAGGATCAACGGGGTTCTAGTTGAGTGGCGCCCTGAAAATCTGAAAGTAGCCCAAGAGAATATGCATAATTTCTCTGGTTTTAAAGGGAGTCTATCACTCGAAATGGAGGTTTATGGTGGCCATTTCCCTCAAGTGATTTTGAACATTGCAGGTAGTGAAGACAAGATTTATCCCCTTTTCTAAGCGAACAGGGTAGCAAAACCGCCCCCGCCCAAATGTGTGTCTTTATGGCCCATGAGATCCGCAAAATGGGGCCAATGGGTGAGCCCCATTGAATTAAAGTCCAGCAAACCTTATGTTTGATTTGGGAAATAGGATCATTTACCTACCTGAATTAAGAAATGGACCAAGAGGGACCTTCATCATTGGTCCCGGCCCAAATCGCTTGGACAGCAGCACAAAAGACTCATGCAATCATGACAATCAAGAGGAGCGGAGATGTTTCAATCACCCGACTCTTCGGACTGCGTCACAAGTTTGTGCCCTTGTTTGAATCCTGGAATCCTGTGCATGAGTTGCGATAGTCACCGGCAACCCCCTTGGAGAGAAAGACCCATCATGCGTTTTTGGCTCTCCCCAATGTTTTTGGGGTGTCTTCCATGGTAGTTGCATGATCAAACTGGAGTCGCTGGTTTTCGATTTGGTTGCCCAACGATATTACATATCACTGCCGCAAACAACACAAATGCAAGGGGTCAGTTGCGTTACCCGCAATATTTTCCGATTCCGGGCCTTCCGGAGGTTCCACGCTTTGCGATTCATAGGAAATAGCACCAACGTAGAAACCCTCCGAAGGTTCCCGCTTTTCTCTGAGCGGGGTTCAGAGCGTATTTTTGGTTTGCCCTCTTCTTGGCGAGGAGGGTTGTGCGCACAAATGGGGAAGCCCCTGAGTCACCATCTAAAAGAGAGCTCCTTGATAAGTTCCCCCCCCCCCCGCCTCATGCTGGTCCTCGTGCCACAAGTATCTCAAGACAAACCATTGTGCTGAACCCAGGCGAGGACATGTTTGTTGCTTTAATCGATTGCCCCACATTTGATATCACCCGTCTCTGAGGTATGGTCCAGACGTGACCTACAACTTCTTGATGAAGAACAATCTCAGGGCGGGGCAAAGCATAAATACAGCGGGCAACGTAGACCCGTCCATACGTGTGCCATCCCAACAAGTGTTCTGGATCTCCCCCACTACGGTCTAGCTTCGAGAATCAACCAGGTCGTTGAAGATTGCTTCAGGGCGTATTGCACGGTGGTTTCCCCTTTACAATCAGCTACCAGAATTGGTGCCGTTTCACCCCATGGCTGGAGGTCTCAGCGTTCCGCAGTTCTGCCTTGTGTATTGGTATGCTAGCGCCTGCTTTGACAGACAAGATCCACTTTGCACCAGTTGATAGTTTATTCATCCCATTTGTTGGGTTTCATCCAAACTGAGGCAGGATGTGGGTTTGAGGATGTTCGGATGCCCGGCATTGAACTTCGAGACTGTGCACAGTCGCCGCGGTTCGTCTAGCACTTGGTTGAGATTTCCATTGGGCAATTTACGAGATCCTTCCAACGCGGGAAAATTTGGTGCTCCGTGTGTTTTTTTGCCAGCCACTTCTCTTGAGCGGTCCAGCCTAATGGTGGCAGCCCTTGTCAAAATCCCTCTGCCCATCCACTAGAAAGGTTTGCGGCCGGACTTCCAATCTAGAATCGCTAGAGGACCAGAACATTGTGTCTCGGGGAACTCAAACTGCAAAAGGCGGCCCCGGCGAATGTTTAAGATGCATACGCATTTGACGCATTTGTCTTGAAAAGCCCAAGTTGCAAAAAGACTCCCCTCTTGGGTGCTTTTCAAAATGGTCCAATTTTTCTTGTTGGTTTCCTTTTGAACCTATCCAGAGCCTCGTGAATTCTCTTCAACGCAGGCCATTGTGCGTGGCCACGAGCAAGTGCAAGAAGGCCACCGGAAACAAACGATCAAGGCGCGGCCGGGGGTCTAGAAGTAATGATCATATTAGTCTACCTACCTACCTGCCTACCTACCTATGTACCCCGCTATCTCTTTATCTCTCTGTGTCTCTATGTCTTTATCTCTCTATCTCTGTATCTCTTTATTTCTTTGTCGCTCTATTTCTCAATCTGTCTATCTCTCTATCTCTCTATCTCTCTATATCTCTATCTCTTTTTCCATCAATCCATCCATCTATCTATTTGTCTATCTATCTATCTATCTATCTATCTATCTACCTATCTACTTGTATCTAGCCATCTTTCGATTTATATTTTTGCAATGTAATCTAATTTAATCTAAACATCTGTCTATCTATCTAGTCTAGTCTAATCTAGGCTAAGCTATTATATCACATCTATTTGTCTATTCTAATCTAATCTACTCTAATGCAATCTGAATTTAAACTATCTCTCTCTCTCTCTATCTATCTATCTCTCTCTCTCTATCTATCTATCTATCTAATCTAATCTAATCTAATCTAATCTAATCTAATCTAATCTAATCTAATCTAATCTATCTATCTATCTATCTATCTATCTATCTATCTATCTATCTATGTATCTATCTAATCCACCCATCTATCTAATCTATCCGTCTATCTATCTAATCTATCCGTCTATCTATCCATCTGAGGATCGACCAAACCTCCCTTATGGCTTTTTCGTAAGGGTTGAATAGGAAAGCAATCGTGTTACGGCGCTGTGGTCGCGGAAGACCGCGGAAGGCGAGCGGAAGTTTCCCGAGGGCATGTGCTATCATGGGATGAAGCCCCTACACGTGTACGGAAAAGTTGTGACGCTTCAATTCGGGCGGCTCGTGTACTCTACCAGTGCTTGAAAGCCGCGATGTTTAAGCTGAGCTGTCAAAGCACGCCGAGCTGCCGAGAGTGTACCGCACGCATTCCCGCAGAAAATGTTGTAGAAAAGCGCGAGAAATTGAGTTTTGCGGTCCGATTTTTTTCGCGATTCTCGCGGCAGACATTGTAGAAAAGCGCGGAAATAACTCACGCGTTTCGGACCTCGAAAAGCGCTCTGGCATCACATTTGGCGGCCCTTCTGATTCCCGCAGCAGACATCGTAGAAAAGCAGCGAACTTCGCGGTTTCGCGCGTTGCGGACCTCGAGAAAAGGTTTTGCAATCAATTATGGGGCCTTGGAATTCAATTTGGAGTGGGAGATTAAGAGTGTGTATCAGCCTGTGGGATTTCAGTGTTGTGGGGTTTATCAGTTGGTGGATGTTGTGGGACTTCAAACTGTTTCTCAGTTGGTTGATGTTAGTGGGAATTGGGTTTGCGTGATTGTGTATGGATTTTGTGTGGGGATATGCGGATGTGTGTGTGTGTGTGGGTGTGTGGGTGTGTTGTTGGGTGTTTTGGGTGTGTGGGTGTGCGGAGCTGCTGCTGCAGCGGCTGCCCAGCAGCTGCCCAGTGGCTGCGCCACAGCACCTTGCCAGAATGAGGATGGTGGTGGGTGGCAGGTCTTGGGTTAACATGCTGCAGGGTTTGTTGTGGGTTTCCCTCACCATTAACTAGGTGCTGGCCCTGTGAATCATCTCAGGTTCTGTTGCTGCAGCTGGCTGCTGGCTTGCCAGGCCTGCGGCTGTTGGGGAGAGGGGTGTACAATGATGTTTTGTGTGTGACAGTTTGTAGCTGAATTTGTGTTTGGCATGTGACTGCATCATTTCAGCCCTGCGTGAAGATGGAGGGGGGAGGAGACCAATGACCATGGTACATGAAACTGGAGTTCATATGGCATGTTTGTGTTGCATATCAAGTTGGGATCTGGGCCTGGCTGTTGCTGATAGTGAGCAATGGAGCTGCCGAGTGATGATGAAGCCGGTCCTGACATGCTCTTCAACACTGGTGTGATGGTCATGGTCCACAAGGCCCCGAGTCACCAGCAATTGGAGACCCCACCTGCGGAAATCACCAAAGGCAGATTGCTTGAGTCTTGGCTGTGTTCCCTGAGGTTTTGGAAGTGCAACCCTACCCCTTATTGCAATTTGCTGTCATATGGCTGAGGACTGCTGAGCAGCTTGACTCCTACAAGTGTTGCCAACGCCTCTGTGTCAGTACCTTGCGGGCAAATGTGTCCCGCATGGAAGCCTGGAAGGTGGCTTTGTTGCACAAGTTGGGCAATATGTGATTTGTGTGGTTGGGGTGTGTCTCAAGGCTATCCGGGAGAAGATGAACACCCTCAACAATGAGGAGTGCAACCACTACATCTTGGGCTTACTGGGAAAGCTTGACAAGGACCCAACGGGTTTGGGTTGGCTGTAAGATGAACACACTGGAGGATTGAGCCATGCCTGGAATTGAATTCGGCTGTCACCCAGCTGGCAAGTTGCAGTATGCTCTTTGTGGCCATAGCCTTTGTGCTGAAGCCTTCTGCACTCTGCTTGGGGTCAACCGCAAGAGGGTTGGGGCTGAAAGGGATGAATGTTCTTGAGGGGGGGTTTGACTCAGTCATAGCCCTGAAAGGTTGTGCGTCTTCACAGTGGGCTTGAACACAACAACCTGCCCACTGACATGCGGAAGTACAATGGAATGAACTCTGACAATGCCAAATCCAGCAGTGTTGATGCCTTCCTCACCCATTGCTATTACCACCTTGTGCCTTGCCAAAGTACAGTGTTAAGATGCAACTAATTTACAGTTACAGCCTGGCCTTGAAGCTAAGGCTGAATCCTTGGCGGAGACACCTGGTGCATTGGATGACCCTTATGCTGCAAGCCTTCATGTGAGTGGGCTTTTCCTGCCAGGCCTGATGTACTTACCAACTGAACCAACAAATATGTCGTCCCATCCCCCTTTTTCTGCTGACCAGGTGGCACTGGCTCTGACCTGCCCCCGAGCATCCTTTCTGATGAGCGGCATTTGTCTGATGTGTCCTTGGCCGTGGAGAGTGTGGTGGTGGGTGCTAGCCAATTGGGAGTGAAGAGCCCTCTAGTCAGAAATAGTGCGGGTGCAAATTTGGTTTGTTTGCCCTGGAGCTCTTTGTGTTGGATTCTGATGCATTGTGGGAGCAGGCCTCTGTGCGAACGTTTCGAAATGTCTACAACACCTGGAAACGCGTGCTTCCAATGAGGGAGATGAGCCAACATGCCAGGCTTCTTGATCCAAGTTGGCTGTGGTTTGGGTGTTCTGCTTGACTTGACTTGTCCCAATGTGAAGCCGTTGCTTGACACTAGGTGTGCTCAATGTGCGGAGTTCACTGCTCGTTGCAGCAAGACAGCGGGCGCCACTGAAAGGGCACAGCTGGAGAAAGCGCAGCAGCAACACATCCAGAATGTGAAAGCACACCGCCTACTCCAGACACGCCTCAACAATTTGAGTGAACAGTCTATGATGTCAGGGGGCACTGTGCTCAAGGTGGATATTGACGCTCTTGATCAAAGTAAGACAAAATGGCCCAGATGCACATCAGCGTTTTCCTCAAAATCTGTTGAAGGCCTTTGGCGCCCGCAAGTGCACATTGTTGGCATCATTGCTTGGGGTGTTCCTTGGATTGCTATTATTGCTGAAGTACAAGTTGGCAAGTTGGAGTAAACCCCAGCTGTGAATAAGGTCCTGGAAGGCTACCTGGTGGTTCCTGCTGATGTTTGCAAAGATGCTTCTACAGAAGCAACAGCGTTGGCTGTGACCTTGGACTGGGTTCAGAAAGAGCTGTCAAAGCGCAACCTGGACATGCCGGACCATTTGGTGATAGAGGTTGTGCTGCTGCTGTTTAAACTGTGTTTCAATATTTTGTTTTCAACACCAGGGACCAACCTCATTTGGGAACCTGATGTTTTCCCCCTCCCCCCCCCCAAACCCCACACCAACCCTGAATCAACTCCCTCACACCCCACTCCTGTGTTAACTGCATATTGGTTCCATCACCCTGCCCCCCTTTTTTCAACCCTGGCATTAATAAATTCCATCCACTTCTTGCTGCCTGTCTTCCCCATTGTTTGACCCTGCAGACTGATAACACATGCCGGGAAGGCAAAAATCAGACAATGGCCAAATGGTGTGCAACTGCAGTGACATCACAGCGGTGCCTGGATTCAATTAAGGGGAAGTGAACCCTGTAATTGGTGTTGCTGTGGGGCTTGACCTAAGGTTCAGGAGTGTGACCCACCTCATGGCAGAGGTGGGTCACACCCACAATGCTGTGGACCAAAGGCTGTCCATGGTTGTATCTGCTTTCCAGAACACAGACACCATACAGACACCAGAGGCTATGGGTCTTGCTATGTAGTGGTTGGTGGGAGTCAGTGTCCCTCTTACAGAAAATTGGGTTGGGAACACTGCACAGGACTTTGAGAAGATCATCTTGGCCAAGATCCGGCCAAGCCGTGGGCGGGTTTTGAAAACCAAGATGTGGACAGGGTCGTGTGACTTCAAAAGTTACTATGAACAATATGGCCTGGCAGTAAGTGGTTTGGCCCCCCATGCCCAAGCTCGACATGTGAATCACTGCTGGCGATATGTGCGGCGTGCAGACTCTTAGATTTGAATCTTCATCATTGTTCAATGGCACCCCCCCCTCTACAAGTTAGACTGGGCACCTGAACTTTCTATTGACCTGCCAGAATATGACCGAGAGTCTGGTGATTCCTGGAAGGCCACTGAGATTCCTGGAGACACCTGCTTGCAAACCTTCATAGCAGGGCTTGCCTTTTCCTCCTACCCTGACTGTAAGGAGAACTATGTTTCAAGTGACTTTGATTGCATCATGCTGGTGAAACGCTTGGTGAACTCAGAACCCCTCAGCCAGGACTAGATATTGGTTGATTGTGCTTTGAAGCTTGTCTGTACCCCTGAAACTCCTTCACCCCTTGTCTGGTTTTACCCCTTCCCTTGGCTAGGAGCCTCTAGTTCTACTTCCAGAGGCATTTGCAAAGCGATTGCAGCGGCCATTAGGGGCACTCCCACGTGACAAAGTGCCTGAGTCTACTATTGACTTGTCTACATTGCTTTTAACTGCTG